CCCCCCCTCCCTACCCACCCGGCGGCAGCGTTCGCAGAGCGTCTCCTGCGCACGCGCAGGAGACGCTCTTGCACTTTCGGGGGGATTTTAACATCCCCCCGAATTTTTTTTTTACTTTTTTTTATTTTTGTGCACACGTGGGGACTGGCCCACGTGTACACAAACCTCCCCCAGCCCCCCAGCTGCCCCCTCCGTGCTGATTTAAGTATCCGCACGGAGGGGGCAAGTTGGGAATTAGATATATAGATTTTTAAAGAGCTAGGATCAAAAAGTACTTGATACAAAGTAGGAATACAATTAAAGTCCACAATTTCTTTGTATAAAGAACGTCAGGAGTACAATAGTTCCACGTCTTATGTACCAGCTATCTGAAGAAGCGAAACGTGAACGCGGCAGTGAAGCCAGCCGTGTATAGCTGTACTCACATAAGAGTTAGTGTGAGCTAGCTCACAGCTTTTTAGCCTCCGGCTCACAGATTTTTGTCTCGGCTCAGGAAGGGATGGCTCCAGAGCAAACTAATGTATGCAGCAGCCAAATCGCTCGTGCACAACTTTAATGCCAGGAGCTCACATAGTTGAATTTTTGCTCACCAGACTCCACAGCTAAGAGGGAGCATTGAACCTGAGACCTTCTGCATGCAAAACAGATGCTTTATGACTGAGCCACACCCCTTCCCCGTCCCATAGTGGGTAGCACGTGGGGCCTTTAAGTTCTTGGCAGTCTTGCCTGGATTAATTCTGCCGAGCAGTGCTGGTGAACTCCTGCAATTACCACTTGTGTTTCCTTGCCTTTGTGTCCAAGGCTGCCCTCTTCCCAGTGCATGCCTCGAGGCTTAGCTATGGCAACATATACCTTACAGGATGTCCTGGCATGTTAGTTCTGAGCAGCTCCGCGCTAAGTAGACCAAATCTCTCACCGTGATTGCAGGCATCACAAAGATAAGCTTGGGGGGCTGGGTGTCCCATGGCCAGTTGAGTGGATGAGGTACGACCATACAAATGTCTGGTGTGGAGAAGAGTGTGGTGTAGCAGCTAGAGCATTGGAGAAGCATCGGTCAAGATTGCAAACCAAAACTCAGTTCTGGTTTTAGAGTCTGACTTCCGAAGGAGCAGCCAAACCGAAGTTTGGTGCCGCTGAAATGGCTAAACTACGGTTTGCGCTGACGCAGAAATCACAAATTGGCTTGGAATTATAGTGCTCACTCTTATGTGGTGCCAAAACTTGTGATGTTATGTCTGGACCCTTGCTACTGTAGCCATGTGCAGTTTTACTGTAGCAGTTCAGGTCTGAGTCTGTACACCTTTAATGCATCGCGTGTGTTGTTTCTCACTTTTCAACAGTTTGCCGGGACTTTATCCGACGGTTTGGGGAAGACGATGGACAATCGGCATCAGATGGAGCGAGAGTACATCCGATACCATGCTGCCACGAGCGGTGAACACCTCGTGGCTGGTATCCAAGGACTAGCTCACGGTAACTCTTTAACCAAACGGCCGGGCAAAGGGCACATCTAGCTTTTAGTGCTGGGGTTGTATTTTTGCAGTGCTTCAGAAGAGCCCTTATTTTCAGTAGGTTAGAGTGGGGCACAAAGACTGTGTTCGAACCTGCTTAAGCAATTCATCTTGAAACCTTCAGGTGCAGCCTAGCTAGGGGATTTTGGGGGAGGGGGCCTCAGGGGGCCCGCCAGCTGATTAAATGAAAGCACAGGGCAGGTGGTAAGTTGGAGCACTTTGGGGGTAGCCCGGGAGGGAGGGGGCCCAGAAGAAACACGAGGGGGCCAGGCCCCGTGGGCCCCATGGTAGCTACGGGCCAGGGTGCAGGGTTGCCAACTCTGGCTTTGGAAATTCCTGGAGGTTTGGGGGTGAATCCTGGGGAGAGCCAGGTTTGGTGAGGGGAGGGACCTCAGTTGGGGTATAATGCTGTAGACTCACCTCCCAAAGCAGCCATCGTCTCCGGGGGAACTGATCTCTGTCTTCTGGAGAGCAGATGTAATTTCAGGTGATCTGCAGCCCCCAAATGAAGGTTGGCAACCTTACATGTGTCATTTAACAAAGTGTGGGGGAGGGGTTAGTTGATTTGTACTTGGCACTATTCGGGACCTCCAAATAGGAGCGCGCT